TCGCGGGCTCATGTCAGGTTAACTTACTGTAAACGGAGCCGGGTTGTTCGGAAGCCGGTTAACGCTAACCCAGGATTAAAGTTAACAGAAGTATAAATAGTTATTTTATACAAATATTTTGAGATGATTCAAACTCATAACAGAAGGCCAAACAATATACAGAAAACCTCACTGTAAAGTTACAAAATTCAAATCAATGTTTTCGCTTAACCTGGGTTATCTTAATCAGCTTTGAACAACCCGGCCCAGGAGCTCCGCTTTTAGGCTTGGCTAACTCTATATATTAGATTCCTATCTTTAGACGTTTAACATGGTTTGTACTCTTTTGTGCAGTGTATTTGGAATTTACCGGGAAAAGGGGGAGGTGGTGGGAGGCGGGCTGGATACGGCTGTAAATCTCCTAATCACATGATATTGCCTGGGTATTGTATCCTATACTTGATGCCACTTACGTTCTAGTCAAATGACTAACACCAGCTCCTGCTTACGTTAGAAAATGGCAAGAAGTACTTGTGTTGCAAATGGATTAGGACGATGCCGACAAAAATGAGTACTTGATACCTTACATTTTCTACCTCCAATGGAACTATGTGGAAAGGAGTAGAAAAGCGCACGTCTCAATATTCCATACTCGATGTATTAGAGTTTTTGTACTAACCTTTGGTTGGGTCTTCCAGATCTGATGTAGAAACATAACAAAAAAAATAAGCTGTTATCTCTATTTAATTCTTTGACATTCTCGCGCCTTACGAGTAATATATTTGAAACTCTACTCACGTCAACCCAAAGAATGATAAGAAAATTCAAAACATACTGAGCTGAGTTGAGGAATGAAGACAGTTAGTCTTATATTGTTATCATCAGGCTTACTAATACTTTGGTCGCTATCGCTCAAAGAGCAGAGTGGGAATCACATTTTTTTTCTCGTCATAAATGTAGTTTTAATTTAAAGTGTCTTTGATCTCGTGTCTTGTTTTTCATCTTGAATTCTTTACGAGTATGTACTTATTGCCCAAGGTAAGGTAAATGTTGGTAACGCTTTTAAGGTGTGGTATTGCTAACGGTTTCGTGGTGTTATTTCTAATTTGTGACTAATGAAATTCGTGATAATAACTTACCATATTCTGGTCCGTCGTTGTTCATTTCCTCGAGTTCTTGAGCTACAAGGTTAATAAGAAAATGAAGTAAGCTGAACTCCTTCACTACAAATGTATTGGATGGGTGATTATGAACAACCGATTCTTTTTCTACCCCTTATTACCGTTCTATTAATCTTTCTTGAGCTTTTGATTAGGGATATTTACTTAGAACAAAAATGTTCCAGTTTAGGAAACCTCCTGTCATTCGGGATGTCGTCGTGTGGGATCTTAAGTTAGGCGAGCCGCTTCATTGCAAATCTTTTTCTCTGACTTTCTCCGGTCAAAACTGTAAGCGAATGCAATTTCGCAGCCTTCCACGTTTTCCATTTACTGTGGTTTCAGGTTATCCCTCATCTTTGGTGAGATTATAGTTTACATGTTTGTAATTGGAAGCTCTCTACTAAATGGTGACACTTGTGGCCAAATTTTTCCAAACTAAATGTGTTGTTATATCGCTCAGCAATTTTGACAGAGTTCAGCTAATGCCACACACACATACTTTGTGACAAAAATAGTGATGAAAGAATGATGATTATAAGACAATATAACGTGCTTCTAACTCACCTTCATATTCATTTGGAGCATCTGCGGAGAATGGCAAATATTAATGATAAGAAAACTCTAAATCAAAAGATACAAAAATAAGAAAAAGCCAAAAACCAAAAACGAAACCAAATGTATTGCATGACTCTGCTTGTTTACCTTCCAGCTTCTCTCGCAGAGAAAATGCTAAACTGGCCCCAAGAAACAAGATTGTGATGAACAAAATCTTCAATTCCATGGCTGGTAAGTGTTAAACTCAGCTGAGAATGGCCGTAAGAGCAGTCTTGCTGCTCGTTTTATGTGTTTTGATAGAGGTTCTAATATCATGGGACCAAAAGCCAATACTTTAATACCGTGTTCACTAGCATCGTTACTAGGAGGAAAATAAGTTTTCAAGGATCTTTGTTCGTCATTGTCAGAATTAGAGCTTTGTGCATTCCCATTTATCTGTATTGAACTTCACTATCTTTAATAATCTACTTGACTTGATAAATGACGATTTAAGATTGAGGCAGGTACAATTCACAATCAACAGATATTATGATTTTCTGAAGGAGCTATTTTTTTCGAATTTATGTTCCAAACTTACGTACAAGAAAAAGTTTTTATCCTGTCCCTAGGCCGCGTAATTCAAAATTAAAACACAATTCGAATGTCACTTAGGAAGTTCATGAACAGTTTCCGAGTTCTTTTCTTTCTGCTTTTGGCGAATGAAAGATCTGACAATTTGCAGGTTAACGTTTTAATGAAGTCGAATGTGGCAAATCTTTTTTTCCAGGTTCTGTAATTACAGTATATTCGAGGGGCATTCTTTCAGCCACCTTTATCGTGAACAAAGTTAATATTGGTAGAATGAAAAAGAAAGGGACTTTGGTTGAAGTATTTTTTTTTCTCTCTCAACCAACTAGTACCTTACGTTTCTGCTCATGAAAGTCACACAATTTTAAGAAAAAAAAATAGCAGCCATATCATTAGCCGTTTTTTTGCCGTAGCAACAAGGACATCTTACGATGTGTTTTATTTTGGCAACTGACGAAA